TCCGGTGGAGGAGCCGGGACCAGTCGGGTGAGTGAGGCTGTGCCGGCGCATGCCGAACCCCACCCTGCTGGCGGCGCCTCGGCACGGCCGCAGCCCTGCAGCTGAGGAAGAAGAAGGTGGCAGAGGACAAGGAGATGGCCTGGCCCTCACACACCCATCCCGACCACATGTCTGCTGCATCCTGACCTGGAGCATCCCAGTGGGAAATGCTCAGTGGGTCCCAGCCAGTCCCAGGGATGGTGGTACGGAAGCCAGCTCTGCTGTGGGGCACTGCCAGGGATGCTCAGCCCTGGCCCTCCTGGCTGGCTGGTGGAACTGTGACCTTGAGGGGGAATTTGAGGGGACCGGGCATTTGCTGGGGTCAGGGGACTCTATTCTTGTTGCTTCTTTGACGGCTTCCCCAGATATGGTGCACCAGGAGTGGAGCTGACAGGCTTGCACAAGGAGATGGCCACCGTCACCCAGCTGCACTTTCTCCCCGGCCAGGTAGGCAGGTATCCCTGGGGGGCCTGGCAGCAATCCCCCTGGCCCTCCACCCACCCGATGTTCCCCACCAGGGCTGGCTCCTTTCCCTGCTGGATGACAACACGCTGCACCTCTGGGAGGTCTGCCAGAAGGATGGCTGCTCCCACCTGGAAGAGACCCGCAGCTTCAGCCTCCCAGGACGCCCAGGGTCTGACAGTGCTAAGTACTTGCCGGGGGGGGTCCCCAGCCCCCCCCTCTCCGTGGGGCTGTGGCTGGGAGTGATAGTGCTGCCAGCTGGGAACGGCGCGTGGGAGCTACTGTCCTGGCTGAGGGCGGGATGGTGGCCAAGGTCCCTTTGGTGGTGGTGGTTTCTTCACGGGGATACTCCTCCAATCCTGACAGGGATGTTCGGGGGTAGGGAGGGGATGGTGGGAAATGCAGCCCTGAGCTTTTTATAGGTGCTGGCGGAGTCTGGGGGTGTTTAGTGGCTCTAATTGCTGGTAGTGTGGAGGCTGGCCCTGTCCCCGTCCTCCTGTGCCAGTGAGGATGGGGATGCAGGGGAGGTTTGGGGTCTCCCTATTGTTCCCCCAGACCCAGTGTGGGGCTGACACAGCCCCCCTCTTCTCCCCCCAGCTGCTCCCCAGGCATCACACGGGTGACTGTGGTTCTGCCCATGTCCTCCGGTGCGGTGGGCTGCCTGGGCACCGAGGGCGGTGCTGTGTACTTCCTCACCCTGCCCACCCTGGTGCTGCTGGAGGACAAAACCCTTTTCCCGGATGAAATCCTGCAGAGGTGAGCCCTGCCAGCCCCATCCCTCCTCCCCACAACCCTCAGCCTCCCCCCCCCCCACCTCCCTGTGACTCCCTCCGTGCAGTGTCCCTGATGACTACCGCTGTGGGAAGGCTCTGGGGCCAGTGGAATCCATCCAGGAGCACCCACGGGACAGGAGCCAGCTCCTCATTGGGTACAGCCGGGGGCTGGTGGTCCTCTGGGAGCAGAGCACACGCACTGTCCAGCACCTTTTCCTGGGGAACCAGGTACTGGGACTGGTGGGGGCAGTGGTCGTGTGTGTGTGTGTGTGTCCCCAGTCCAGGGTGTCAAGCCCTCTATGTGTCCCTGCAGCAGCTGGAGAGCCTGGCCTGGGAACAGAGCGGGAAGAGCATCGTGAGCTCCCACAGTGATGGCGGGTACATGGTGTGGGCAGTGAGTGGCACTGGCCAGAAGACCCAGCAGCCTGTCATGTCCACCATCCCTTATGGTACGGGGTGGGGGAGATGGGACTGGGGCCAATTGCCCCATCCCAGCACTGGTGTTGCAGCTGCAGGGTTGGTATCTTCTGTTTCAGGTCCTTTCCCTTGCAAAGCCATCAGCAAAATCCTCTGGCGGACCTGCGAGTCAGGGTATGTCCCTATGGAGCAGGGGGATGCTCCAGGATAGGCTGATGGTGGGCACGGGGAGGAACTTGGGCTGTGAGGAAGATGCTCTAAGGAATCTGGCTTCTGATGGAGGCTGCTTCATCCCTCCAGGAACCCCTTCATCATCTTCAGTGGGGGGATGCCACGGGCCAGCTATGGTGACCGGCACTGTGTCAGCGTCCTGCAGGGCCAGACCTTGGCCACGCTCGACTTCACCTCCCGTGTCATCGACTTCTTCACTGTGCAGAGCCCCGAGGTGGCCGAGGGAGGTAGGTCCCACCAGGGCTGCCCTGGGGAGCTGGTGGGAGGGGGTGGGTCTTGACTAGCAGAAGTCATTTTTCCCCCTCCTCCCTCTCTCCTCAGGCTTTGAGAACCCCCGTGCCCTCGTGGTGCTGGTGGAGGAAGAGCTGGTGGCCATTGATCTCCAGACGCCGGGCTGGCCCACCATCCCTGCCCCTTACCTGGCCCCACTCCATTCCTCTGCCATCACCTGCTCCTGCCACGTCTCCAATGTGCCCCTCAAGCTGTGGGAGAGGATCGTCAGTGTCGGCGAGCAGCAGAGCCCCCGGCAATCCTCCGCTGTGAGTGGTGGGCATGGCAGGGAGGGGAGGTCCTGAGTGCCAACAGGATGGGCTGGCAGAGGGGTGACACTTGCTCCTGCTCTGCACGAGAGGGCTCAACCCATCCCTCCCTCCCTGCAGGCTTGGCCCATCGATGGGGGAAAGAACCTGGCCCAGGAGCCCACGCAGAGGGGGCTTCTCCTCACCGGGTGAGTGCCCTGGCAGCAAGGAGGGGGTCTGGGAAGCCCAAAATGCACCAGGGGATGAAAGGACACACACATCCTCAGTCCTGTCCTGCAATAGGGGAGTTGGAAGGGGTGGGGGTTCCAGCCACTCTGGTTGGGTGAACTGCTCCCTTCTTGTTCAGCCTGTTGGCTGGGCAGGAGTATGTCATGTACTGTGTTGTCCCCCCTTGTCACTCCCCTTCTGGCACGGTGGCTGCCAGCACACAGGCAGCTCTTGTTGGCTGGACAGATGTCAGGGCCCTGAGCTAATAAGGCCTCCCCATCCCCCCCTTGCCAGGCACGAGGACGGCACGGTGCGGTTCTGGGACGCCTCGGGGGTCTCCTTGAAGCCCCTCTACAAGCTGGGCACCGCCAGCATCTTCCAGACTGACTGTGAGCACAACGACAGCCTCAACCAGGCGGGGGAGGAGGAGTGGCCACCCTTCCGCAAGGTGAGGTCCCTGGTGGGGGACACACACATGCTGCTGACCCCAGCACCCCCTGCCTCTGCTGGCACTGGCTGGGGAGGACAGGCCTGGAGCTGGGCACGAAGGATGCACCCGCCGGAGCCATCCCGGGGACGTGTCCCACAGCTCAGGGCACAGCTGCGGTGTGACGCCCTGCGGGGACACAAGGGACACTTGTTCCGCGTGTCCCATCTCGTGGGTCTCCCCTGGCACGGGGGAAGAGCTGGAGGACGTTGGGGGGAGGACACAGACCTTTCCTGGGCGTGATGCCCGGAGCAGCCCGTGTGCTGCAGCTGGTACCCGCCAGCTGGTGGGAGGATGTGGGGGGTCCACAGAGGGGCTGCCCCACAGCTGTCTGAAGGCCTGTTCCCCTCCTCTCCCCTGCAGGTGGGCTGCTTTGATCCCTACAGTGACGACCCCCGCCTGGGCGTGCAGAAGATTGCTCTCTGCAAGTACACAGCCAAGATGGTGGTGGCTGGCACGGCGGGGCAGGTAGGGCAGTGGGGGGCAGAGCTGGAAACCTCCTCAGATTAAGTTGTGGCTGCCCCATCCCTGGAAGTGTTGAAGGGCAGGTTGGATGGGGCTTGGAGCAACGTGGTCTAGTGGGAGGTGTCCCTGCTCATTGCAGGGGTTTGGAACTGGATGATCTTGAAGGTCCCTTCCAACCCAAACCAGTCTGGGATTCTATGATGTTTCTCAGCACCCCCTTGGGGAGGCACAGCGTGGGGGCCACAGACCCTGCAGACCCGCATGCTCATCCATGAAGGGCTCCTACGCATGGGTTTTAGCACCCAGCTTGCAGCAGGGTGGCTGTCCCAAGGGTGCTGGCACGCATCCCCTACCATCCATGCTTGTCCCCTGCAGGTGCTGGTGATGGAGCTGAGCGATGAGAAGTCAGAGCACGCGGTCAGTGTGGCCACCATGGACCTGCTGCAGGACCGTGAGGGCTTTACCTGGAAGGGCCACGACCGCCTGGCCCCCCGGAACGGGCCCCTGCCCTTTGCCCCCGGCTTCCAGCCCAGTGTGCTGGTGCAGTGTGTGCCCCCTGCTGCTGTCACCGCCGTCACCCTTCACTCTGAGTGGAACCTCGTGGCCTTTGGCACCAGCCACGGCTTTGGACTCTTCGACTATTACCGGCGCAACCCTGTGCTGGCCAGGTATGGGGGGGGACATCTCAGTGCTGGGGACCCCTCTGGAGTGATGTGGCAGAGGTCAGGGTGCTGAGTGGCATTGGTACCTGCAGGTGTACGCTGCATCCCAATGACTCTCTGGCCATGGAGGGGCCCCTGTCCCGTGTGAAGTCCCTCAAGAAGTCCCTACGTCAGTCCTTCCGCCGCATCCGCAAGAGCCGGGTGTCTGGCAAGAAGAGGCTCAATGCCAGCAGCCCCTCCAGCAAGGTGGGCAGGGAATGGGGCTGCCCCCACTGCTCCTCATCCCCACGGGGCAGGGTCTGACCCCTGCGTCCCCTTCCCCAGGTGCAGGAGGCCAACGCGCATCTGGCTGAGCAGGCGGGACCCCCCGAGGTGGAGATGACACCGGTGCAGCGACGGATTGAGCCGCGCTCGGCCGATGACTCGCTCTCAGGGGTGGTGAGATGCCTCTACTTCGCTGACACCTTCCTCCGGGACGGTGAGACCCCCCTCCTGCCTCTGCCCTCCCCGGGAGGAGCCCCTGCGCTGGGCCTGGTGGGTGCTGTGCCATGGGGAGGGGGCTCTGACGCTGCTCCCGTCCCCACAGCCGCCCACCATGGCCCCACCATGTGGGCAGGCACCAACTCGGGCTCCGTGTTCGCCTACGCCTTGGAGGTGCCGTCGCAAGAGAAGTTCTCGGAGCGGCCGGTGGAGGCGGTGCTGGGGAAGGAGATCCAGCTGATGCACCGGGCACCGGTCGTGGCCATCGCGGTGCTGGATGGGCGGGGAAACCCCCTGCCCGAGCCCTACGAGGTCTCACGGGACCTGGCCAAAGCCCCCGACATGCAGGGCAGCCACTCCATGCTCATCTCCTCTGAGGAACAGTTCAAAGTGAGCGTGGGGCCCCACTGTGGCAGGGATGGGACCCACCACCCACACGATGTCCCACATCTTCTGGGTGTCCCTATCACCCTGGGTGCAGGAACAGGGCTGGAGGTGACCAGCCAGGTCCTGAGGCACTCCTGCACTTTTCCGTGGAGCGGTGGCTCTGAGGGGAGGTGCTCATAAGGTGGGAGGCTGCTTGGGTGCCCTCAAAACCCGACAGGTTCCTGTTCCCCCCTGGCACTTGGCTCCTCTCACCTTTCCAGGTCTTCACGCTGCCCAAAGTGAGTGCCAAGACCAAGTTCAAGCTGACAGCACACGAGGGCTGCCGAGTGCGGAAGGTGGCTCTGGTGAGCCTGGCCAGCACCAGCTCTGAGGAGAGGCTGGAGAACTGCCTGGCCTGTCTCACCAACCTGGGAGACATCCACATCTTCACCGTGCCCGGCCTGCGGCCCCAGGTCCACTACGGCTGCATCCGCAAGGAGGACATCAGCGGCATCGCCTCCTGCGTCTTCACCAAGCATGGCCAGGGTGAGGGCACTAGCCCTGCATGGAGGGAGATGTCCCTCGTAGCTGGGACGGTGTCTCCAGCCTGCAGTGTTGCTGAGGCTCTTTGCTGTCCGCCCCCATTCCAGGTTTTTACCTAATTTCTCCATCCGAGTTCGAGCGCTTCTCACTGAGCGCCAGGAACGTGACGGAGCCGCTGTGCCGGCTGGAGGTGACCCGGCTCCAGGACACTTTGTGCCTCAGGTTGGATGAGCCCCGGGGATGTGGGGGATTTGCCACAGCAGCACCCTTGTACCCCTGGCTCTGGCACTGACTTCTTCCCACGCTTCCTTCCAGCAACAGCTTGATGGCGACGCCGAAGCTGCCACAGGCGAACGGCCCCCCCCCCCCGCGCAGCCCCGAGGACCAACATTCCCCCACCGACAGTGACCGTGAGTGACTGACCCGTCCCTGCCATGCCCCCTACATCCCCCTGGGCCCTGTTCCGGGGCCAGCCCCACGTCCTGGCTGCCTCTCAACCCTCCTGTCCCCGTGGCTCCCCAGGGTCCCCTGAGGAGCACCCGACTGCCTTCTCGCCTGGTTCCATTGACTCCCCCAACAGCAGCATGGAGAACCCGCTGGACACCACCGGGGACGTCACTGTGGAGGAAGTGAAGGATTTCCTGGGGTGAGCCTGGGGGGGATAATGGTGTAGCCAGCACCCAGAGGGCCATGGTGGTACCCTCAGCTGCCTCTCACCCTGCTCTGCCCCAGGTCCTCGGAGGAAGCAGAGAGGAACTTGAGGAACACCAGCGAGGACGAGGCCCGGCCCGCGGGGATCCTCATCAAGTGAGGTATGTGAGGGGCCCCGGTGGTCCCCATGGGGACACGGGGATGGGTGGCCCCATGCCAAGGTGGGGATGCAGCTCCAGCTGCAGCCCCCAGGGTGCCATGAGGTTTGGAGCTGGGATCCTAGCATCCCCCTCCATCACAGGGTGGAGGACATGGCCATGGTCCTTGGGGCTTTTGGTGGGAAAGGCAGGAGAGGGCAGCAGTCCCCCAGGTCCCCTTCTCAGGCGCTGTGTCACCCACAGGCGTCACCAGCCTCCCCAGCCCATCTCAGTGCTCGGATTCCCGGGACGTGCGACTCGACTGGACCCCCCTGTGCCCCCTCCCTGTGTAACGTAGACTCGCCTCCCTCTAACACCTGCGCCGGCTCCAGCACGAGCCCCCCGGCCCCCCTGCCTGGCCCCCCACCCCAGGGTCCTGGTGCACAAACTCTTCCCGGGGAAGATAATGATCTTTTTTATAGACGCGGTCGAGTGTCACTGTCCTCAGCTCCAGAGCCCCCCTTTCCCTGGGGATGCTGCTGCTTCCCTGGCTCCATAGGGTGGGCTGGGGCTCGTGGACCCTTCTCATCCCCCCCACTTGGTCCCTCGGGGAGGTGGGGGGGCCGGGAGCCCCCGGCACGGCCTCCCCCGTACCCTGGTCTGTGTTTACATGCCCGGCTCCCTGCAGTTTACAGCCCTGTCCCCTGGCTCCAGCCTGTCCCCAGGGGAGCCCAGCACAGACCCCCTGGCTCCCAGGTGGGCACTGGAGCACTTCAGCAGCTTGGGAGGGGCACAAGGAGGGGGGGGGGGTCACAGGTGGCCTTTTTCTCTTCGTGGCTTCTCCAAGGGCTATTCTCCAGGTTGGGCTCCATGCCTGCTGCTCCTTTCTGACACTTAATTCCTGCCACGGGTGGGTTTGGGATGGGATTGCAATGCAGGGTGGGACACCGGTTCCCAGCTCTGCTCCGTGCTGGTGCTGGGGGGAGGTGTGGGGGAGTGGGAAATGGGGTTCGGGGCTGCCCCAACCCCTCCTGCCCCACCCGGGGGTTTCACTGTGCCAAATTCCTCTCCCCCAGCCCCCCAGGTGCCCCAGCCCAGCCTCATCCTCACGGGGCTGCAGTGACACTGGCTCTGTCCCCTGGGGGCTGCCCCTGTGTGGCTCTGGGGCTCAGCCTGGCACCTGCCCCTCCTTTTTGGGAATCTGGGGCCGTTTCAGACCCCCCCCTCACAACATCCCCCTGGGCTCTTTTTCGGTACGTGTGTGGTTGGGGGGGGAGTTGGGGAGGGGGCTGGGCAAGGCAGCACTGCCCGAGGTCCAGGGCTGTAGTGTCCCTTGTAGAAACCCCCCCCTCCACATCCTTTTTTTTTTTTTCGTAAGATGAATTTAGCATTGTTTAGGTATTAAAAATACTGGTTTTTAATATTGAAAATAAAGCATTTAATATCAACTGCCCAGGCTGCAGGTGTTTGAGCAGCCTCAGCTGGTGGGCTTGGAACCAGGTGGGTGCCTGTGGGGCAGGTTCAGGGTGGGGAGGACCCTGCTTGGGAGCGAGGTGGGCGCAGTCAGAGCCTGGCACGGCCTCAGGGTGAGAAGTGCAACCTTTATTGATACAGTACCCATGGGCTGCCCCCTTCTTGGGGGGAGAGGGGTGGTTCCTGTTCCCCCCAAGACAGCAAGGCTGGCTGTAAGGCTCAGGGCTGAGACCCCTTCCTGCCTCTTTAGCAAAGCTTCCTCCCACCCAAACTGGGAAACACTCCAGTCCCCCAGTTGCAGGCACTGGTTTTGGTGCAGCAGCATCCCCAAGCAGGTGTAACAGGACCCCACATCACCCCATAATCCCCTCCCCCCTACCAGGAAGGGAAGGAGCTGAGATGGGAGGCACAGAAGGTCAGCCCCAGTGTTCCCCACTGGCCCCAGGCTGGTAGCAGGCGTGTGCAGCAGCGCAGGGTGCTGGGGAGGGGGGGTCCATGGTGCTGGGAGCCCCCAGCCCTTAGGCAGGCGGTTTGCGGAAGACGCTCCAGGCGTGGAAGCAGCGGGTGAAGGGCCAGGGGTCGTTGCCCTTCCGAACCAGCCGGAGCTTGCGGGGATGTGCGGGGTCCTTGGAGCGCATGTGCTGGATGTAGACCTGGGGCAGACAATGTGTGTGTGTGGGGGAGTCGGTCCCTGGCCCTTGCCCACCTTCAGGAGATGGTGTTTCCCAGCCCTGGGGACAGGATCAGGACCCAGAGGGGTGATGGAGATACTGGAATCCTCCCGCAGCAGTGGGCAGGAGGGAGGACCTACCTGGCATGCCTTGAGGCTGAGCTTGATCTCCACCTGGCTGGTCTGGGTGCCCACCCACATGTAGACCTGTGGGAAGATGTGCAGCTGGGCTCAGCCGATGGTGGACCCAGGATGGCCTCCCACCCCCAGCTCACCACCCACCCCCAGCTCACCTCCTGGCCGTTGTCCAGCAACATGATGTCATCGTCAGCCAGGTCATCCTGGCAGAAATCGGAGCACTTCTCTGACACGGAGAAATAGCCCTTCTCGTTGGAGCACCTGCAGGGAGAGCCAGAAGAGGACTGCATCAAAGACATGAGTTTGTTAGGTCTCAGCTTGTGCAGAAGGAAGGGAAGTTCTCTTCCAGCTGGATGGATGGAACATAGAGAGGGGTTTTGCCTGTCATGGGGAGCTGTGCTCTGGACTAAGCCCCTGGAAAAGGCCAGCACAGCTTGAGGTGCTGAAGGAGGATGTGAACCAGCACAGATGGAGCAGCACTTCCTGGGTCAGGACCCACCTGAAGAGCCGGGAGTGTTTCATATATTCGGCATCTTCATCGTAGGGCTTTTGGCTCCCTATGCCCACCCAGAAGAAGTTTTCAGGCTCTTCTCCCTCATTTATGACCTGTGAAAGCAGGGACATGGCTGAGCGTGGCTGTCCCCTGCCCCAGTGGTCGATGTCACCCAGGTAAGCTGGCACCAAGCCCTGCTGTGCCCACCCCTGCTTGCCTGCTTGCTGTAGGAGTCATCAAACATCTGGTTCATGATGTCCTCGGCCAGCTTGGCCTCATCAGGGTCAGCTGCCCGGCCTACCCAGGTGTAGACAATGCCCTGGTTGTCTGTGCTCTCAAAGGGCACCTGTGGGAGCAGAGGGAGTTGGGGCTGCCCCAGGAGGGAGGGGGGCAAGAGGCCAAGCACTCCCAAGGATGCTCAGCCAGGAGCAATACCTTGAGGATGAAGCAAAACTCGGAGTTGAGCAGACCAGCATCTGTGTTGATCTGGATGCACCTAGAAAAGAAGCCCAGGAGGCAGAGTCAGCAGGAGATTGGGCAGTTGTGTCTGCTGGCAGATACTTTGCCAGGAGCCCAGCTCCCATGGGTGCTGCCTGGCACTGAGCAGCCCCTGGGAGGGCTGACCTGGTGCAGAGGGCCCCGCCGTTGGTGCGGATGTGGTAGAGGCTGGGCTGTGGTGTGCTGGCCTTCTCCTTGCGCTTGCCCCGGTGGATGACAAACCTCCTCTTGAAGTGCGAGAGGAACTTGGGGTTCTCCTGCTGCTGGGTCATGCGCACCACCTGGCCAGGGGTGGGTGTCAGCAGGGCTGTGGGGACACCCCCAGCCCCAGCTGCACCCACCCTGCCAGCAGCCATCTCTGCTGCTAATCCCTGCCCTTAGCCTGGGGGGCAGAGAGGGGATGGGGGAGAAGTAAGGCAGAGCTGGGGGACCCTGTGTCACCCCCCCAGGAGCACGCAGTGGCATCACCTCCAGCTTGCCAGGGAAGAGACTCTCAAACTTCTTCTGGAGGCTGAAGGTGAAGGTGAGCCAGCCCATGTTGGAGGCCTCCCGGCCCTGCCAGAAGTAGACAATGCACTGGAAGTCTTCCTCAGGCTGCTTCTCCTCCTCCTCTTCCTCACCCTCCTCCCCTTTGCCTTCACCCTTCTTCTTCTTTTCCTCTTCCTCCTCATACTCCACTGGCACCCAGTACCTGAGAGCAAGAACAGGGGGTGATGTGAGGGCTGGGGCAGGCTGGGGGGCTGGGCAGGGAGATGGGGGGGGACAAGGTGGTCCAGCAGCCCCAGGGAGGGGACAAGCTGAGTGTCACCTGCAGAGGAAGACATAGCAGTCATGGGTGTGGAAGTGGCCAAACTCCTCCTCAGGCAGGCGAGCAAATTTCTTCCCCTCCAGCACGAAGCCCTCCATGCCGTCCAGGTCCTCATTCCACTCCTCCATCAGCTGCTCTGCCTGTAGCCCAGCGTGCTCTGTCAGCGGCCACACCAGCCACCCCAGCAGCACCCAGCCCGACGCCGCGGGGGGGGGGGGCCAGGGCACACCCC